TTGAGTTAAAAATCAAGTTAACAATTTGGATTGAAGTAATGGCACACGGAGGTGCGCAGTTGGCTGCCTGAAAATAGCGCCAGTTTGACCGCCGTTACAGACGATGTCTACCTTGTCCGCGGGCTCAAGAACGATAAATTGGGCATGCATTATTTTATAATGAAATTAGACTTGCGTAACATCTGCCGCACTACCTCCCTCTTCCACCCGAGGAGGGCCGGAGACAGAATCGGAACAGTGGCTGATAAAGTTAATCAGTCCACCTACATAGGCTTGATCTGCACACAGTGGACTAGGATTGTACACAAACAGGGAAGGGGAGCGGCACAGATCCTAATTGAATGAAAGTGCCGTATTTTTTTCAGTTTGGTTCAGTCTTATTAAGGAAAGGATAGGCGAACACCTTTTAGTTCCTGATTAGTAATAAATTGGCTGCGAAATGTATCGACAGAGAAGATATATCCAAAAAAGACGTCGTTTACACAACTGCGGAGGAAAAGCGAGCAGCCGTCGGTTAGTCGAAAGAGGAAACAAAAACGGTTACTAACTTATTGTGAATTGGGAAGGAAACCTCAGCTCATTGGCAATGCCAAATATACTCAATTATCAATTGATCATAAGCCTTGAATTACACACACTAACCTCTGGCAGGCGGTCTCGAAGGCAGACGCAGTTCCATCGGGGCGAGAAGGCAGCCAGATTGGCCCAGAGGCGATTGGCTGCCGTTGGAGTGCCCCATTCGACACCTTTTGTAAGATGGTGGGCACCCAGAACAAGCTCATTGCCGCCGGTAGCAGCGACTAGATAGAGCCCCATCTGGAAGCGCGGATGGGCGCTTTCTACGATAGGCCGACAGCCCGAACGTTTAGCGGCCTCAGTGCATGACGAGGTCAGACCCATGACTAAGTCCACCTGCAGAAAATAAGAGACAAGGTTGTCAAAAAACAGAAGTGGTTTAAGAGCACAGGCAGAAGTTTGTGGAGTGCTCATTCATCGATTACGGGAAGCCGAATACAGGTGTGTGATAGGAGATAATGCCTTCGAAGGAGGATCGAATATTAGGTAAGATTATATCGTGGGGTCGTATGGACAAAGTGTGAAGCGCGTCCCGCGGGCTAACGTTCACCTGATTTTTGGGGAGGGGAGGGCCGGGGCATGTCAGGGAACAAATTAGATTCCAATAGTTTTGTTAAATAAAAAAGTTACGAGGGCAAGTTGGGTCGCGTACTCAAACC